TGTGGACTGTGATGCTCTGTTGTCTCTGAGGCATTGTGATGTTTTTGTGTTTATATTTAATTGGTGATTGTATGTTGGAGTGACTTGCCCATAATTTTTGTTTTCTTTGTATGTTACCAATGTAAGCAGGGTACTGTGCTGTGCTCCTCTATTCACTAGTTGACATCGCTTGTGCACTCACCACCTGTCTCCTTTCCTGTTATCAGCCCCTTGTATGTCCCTGCTGGCCTTGTCAAACAGAGTCTATTCTTAGGTCCTGTTTTCATTCAGGTTTTTCCACTAATTGGTGCCTAATCCACCTCTGTACAGTTCCCTTCAAAGCTCAGGGCTCCAGGATTATCTTCTATATCTTGTTAATTGGTTTCTCTTTTCTGTGTTGAAGAGGGTCTGTGTTGCTTGTCTGCCTAGTCCTCCATCTTACTGGAATTCTCCTCTATAGGCACTATTTTGTATCATAAACTTATATAAAGTAAAAAAAACACATACTACTATAAGAAAAGAAAAGGAAGACAAGATTGTCCAAAAAGATATGTTGTTGTTGTTATGTGCCATCGAGTCAGACCCAACTCATAGCAATCCCTCCTTGGGTTTCCGAGGCAGTATCACTATGGAAATAGATTGCCCCATCTATAGTGGATCACAAATAAATACTGACAATTTGGTAAAACTTGTGAAAATATGCCAACAAAGGGTAGAGAAAAATTGATCAAAACCCTCCTACAGAAGCAGAACAGGACAATAGATTGAAAATGAGACAAAATGTTCGAAAGAGCTGGCACATGTTTGTTTATCTTATGTGAAATCCTAAAATTTGACAAATATAGATTTTAAGAAAATATTTTACAAAAACAACTGATTATTGGCAAAATGGCTTTTAGGCAAATATCTTTTAGGAGAAAAATGAGAGGAATTCAGTAGAAGATAGTCTGAGTTTGAGGATATTGGATAAGTACAGAGACACTAAGAGGAAGGAGCTGTACAGGAAGAGAGGAAGGAGAAAGAAGAAAAGGAAGTCTTTATACTAGGTCAGGCTCCCAGGGCTCCTAGAGTTCTTCCAAGGTCCCCATAATTTAAAAGAAAGTACCATGGGCCTTGTGCAAGGTCTTATTTCTCTATCTTGTGCTGTTATAACTCTTAGGACAAAAGTTTGTCCTTCACAATCACTCCCAAGCATCAGTGAAGTGAATTCCTTAGATTCGTTCTTATTCTGCATTTGTCTATTTTCAGCTGCATCCTTCTCAAGGGTGACTAACAAGCCCTGGTGGTGCAGTGATTAAGACTTGGGAGCTAACTAAAAGGCTGGCAGTTCAAACCCATCAGAACCCCTCTCTCTCCCATCTCCTTGGGAGAAAGATGTGTCAGAGTGCATCTCTAAGGATTTACAGAAAAGCCTCGGAAACTCTATGGGGCAGTTCTACTCTGTCCTAAAATGTTGTTATGAGTCAGAACTGACTAGATAGAAATAGATTTGGTTTGGGGTTTTCAAGAATGACTCCTTAATTAACATTGCTCTTATTGAATCCTTCATCTCTCCACATCTCTCACTGTTCCTTCTCTCCTCAACTGCCTGTCCTTCCTTATCACTCTGGGTTTAATCTCTTATATCCTATATTCCTATAGTAGGAGTACCATTTTTGTATGTCTAGCTGTTGTAGTAGGAAGAATTCTTAAGATGTCACCTCCCAAGATCCCATTCCTTGGTTACTCAATCGACACTAATATAGGACTGTTGTGAAGGGATTTTGCAGATGTATTAAAGTCCCAACTCAGTTGACTTTCACAGATTATCCATATGAGTCTAAATTTAATTACATGATCCCTTTAAATGGGGAGCATTTTCTCTAGCTGTTAGCATAAGGAGGCATTGGAGAGATCTGAAATATTAGGACTGACACTATTTTGAAGACGAAAGGGGCTATGTGAGAAGGAGTGTGGGTGGCCTGTAGGAGCAGAAAACACCCTCCAGCCAACATCCAACAAGGAAACGGGGACCTGAGACCTACAATTGTAAGAAACTTGAATTACAACCAACAACCTGAATGAGCTTAGAAGCAGATTCTTCCCTAGAGGCTCCATAAGAGCCAAGCCTGGTCAACACCTTAATTTCAGCATTACAAGACCCTAAGTCTAGACTATGTGGACTTTTGACCTATGGAGCTTGAGAGAATAAATGGGTGCTGTTTTAAGTGGCTAAGTTTGGATTATTTGTTAAGGAAGAATATAAAAATTATATAACTGGTACATTGTTGGTCACATTTATCTACTTTTGCCTATCTGCAGGCTACCCTTCATCCTCTTCCTCTACCTCATGAAGCCCAAGCCTTTGTTTTTCTTTCTTCAGAGATGCGGGTTCTTTTCTTCCTAGAAAATCTTTTCCCATATGTATTAATTAAAACAAAAGATTTAGGACACAAAATATTTCAGGGTCAATCTTAATATGATTTTCAAAAATACGTATCATGAATTGACATGCTATTTATCAAATCTTTGAAATTGAGAGAGTTTTCTGATGCATTGGTCTGTTTCTGAGTAGGATAGATTCTGAGCCCTGGCAAGCAAAATAGCTCCCAGTACTTTCCTGGATAATTTTTTAAAAGGGAGAATCAGCTATGTATCCTTCTACAAGAGTCAAAGTAGGCAATCAGGAAGTTGTGAATGTCAATCATTAGATGTCTTGCTGCCTTTCTATCCTACTTCCCCTTTATACTCTATGTCTTCTGTGCTGAGACATTGTAAGTATCTTAGCATCGTTCTTCTTAGAGCTGCTTTCACTTCCTTGTTCTTTAGGCTGTAGATAAGAGGATTCACTAGGGGAGTGATTACACTGTACTGTATGGAAAGGATCAACTCCAGTGAGGAGCCTGAGGTTGGCATAAGATAGCGGAGAATAGATGAGCCATAGAATAAGCTCACTGCAGTGAGGTGGGAGGAGCAGGTGGAGAAGGCCTTGCTTCTGCCAGAGGTGGAGCTAATGCTCAGAATTGTGGAGACAATACGAGCATAGGAGAAGAAGATCAGGAGGCAGGTTCCAATGGCATGCAAGAGGGCAGAGCAGAGCAGCATTGCAGCATTGGTGGATGTATCAGAGCAGGAGAGAGGGAATAGGGAGGGAAGCTCACAGGAGTAGTGGTGGATGGTTTGGAGCTCACAGAAGTCCATATTCAAAGCCAGGAGGATGTTGATGAGTGCATCCAGAAAGGCCACGACCCAAGAGCCCCACACCAAATTCACACACAGCTGTTTACTCATCATCTGTCCATAGAGAAGTGGGTGGCAGATGGCAGCATAGCGGTCATAAGCCATCACTGATAGCAAACAGGCCTCAATCCCTGTAGTGGCAAACACGAAAAAGACCTGAGCCAGACAGCCTTCTACTGAGATCGCTTTCTTCTGAGACAGGAGATTCTCCAGCATCTTGGGTACTGTGACTGAAGAATAGAAGAGGTCTTGGAAGGAGAGATGACTCAAGAAGAAGTACATGGGTGTGTGGAGTTTAGAGTCTGTATGGATCACAAATATCATCATCAGATTTCCCATCAGGGTCAGGAGATAAATCATCAGGAACAACACAAAGAGCAGAGCCTGGATCTTGGGGTCAGCAGACAGCCCAAGGAGGAAGAACTCAGTGATGGTGCTGTGGTTCCCAAAGGCCATTTATAACCACTGTTCTTTAGAAACAAAAATAGGAAAAGGATCAAAATCTTTTCTTTTCAGAGAAGCTGTCAGAGTGCATCTCCCCATTCTCTTTTACTATATATCCCTTTCTGCGTTGTCCCTCTTCATTTTCATAGCTGTTATAACTGCCTTCAGTGGTTCTATGCAGTGCTTCCCTCCCTGGCTTTATACTGCAGTATCTCTTAGCTCTCAATCAGTCCCACTAGACTCTTTCCTGAGAAGGCCAATAAGTGGAGGCATCATCAGCTATAAAGGTCTGCTGGAGAACTAAACCCATTGCCGTCAAGTCTATTCTGGCTCATAGTGGTCCTATAAGGAAGAGTAGAACTGCCCTATAAGGTTTCCAGGGCTGTAATCTTTTTTTTTTTTTTTTTTTTTAGGATTTGGGTGAAGATTTACAGAGTAAATTCACTTTTCATACAGCAGTTCACATATACTTTGTCTCATGTCATTGACCAAAATTTACAACAATGCAGCAGCTCCCCTCCCACTTCCTCCCCATAGTTACCTCCTCCCAGTGTCCATCCCTTCATACTCTTCTGCACCCTGAGCTATCTCCCTGTGCATAAGCAGCCCTTCCTTCTCCCATGATTGTTCTCTCCAGGGCGTGTGTCTACTTGAGGTAAAGGTTTAACTCACATGCCTGTACTTTGTTTGGCTGGAAACCACAGGTGTGGGTTCAATTCCAGACCTGAAGGGCAGCTAGGGGCCATCGTCTCAGTGGTTCCACCAGGCTCTATTGGACCAGCAAACCTGGTCCCCACCTTCTTTTTTTTTTTTTTTGCAGGGCTGTAATCTTTATGGAAGCAGACTGTCATATCTTTTTCCCTTGGAGTGGATGCTGGGTTTCAACTGCTGACATTTCAGTTAGTAGCCAAACATTTAACCTCTGCACCACCAGGGTTCCACTGGAGAACTGCCTCATGAATAAACTATGTCATCTCCTTCAGCGAGGCTCTGTGTTCCACAACACTACTCATCTTTTTGGGATTTTAGTAGATATCCTGGAGAGGCTGATGCCAGTCTTTGCTCACTCTATTACCCATTCAAAGTCCTGTGATGTTTCATTAACTAATTAATGTTAGTATGCTATATTTGTTTAGCAGTTTTTCTTGTACAAATGACTTTCACACATTTTCCACTAGGAAAAATTGAGAGATGTACGTGGATGAGCCAGTGTATGTGTGCATATGTTTGTGTGTGTGTGCTTGTGCACATATGTGTGTGTGTGTGTGTGTGTGTGTGTTTGGGGGTGGGGAGTGGTAAGAGAAGAGATTACCAAATTCATTTCATAGGTAAGACATTTTAAGCCCAGTGATTATATAGCTTGTTATCCTTTCACTAATCAGTCTTTGAATAGCAAGGATTTGAATCTGCCTCATTTGATATATAACAAGGACTTTTTGTGCCTTATCACAATGCTTAGAGAAAAGCCAAACTACTCAGTTTGTATTTTAAGGGATAAATCATCTACCCAGAATCATCACCCATGGTTCTTCAGATTCTCCATTGCTGAAGCCAGATATCTCTGCTTGCTCCTGATCACTCCGTGAAGCTTCCTGTTTCCCCGTCTTTGTTCAGGCTGATATACAATGTTTCACATTCCTACTCATAGATTCATAAGGTTTTCCCTGACCAATTCTTTGAGAAGTGGATGGCCTCTTCCTTCTTCCTAGTCTGTCTCAGTCTATAAGCTGGGCTGTTACCTGTGCACCAGGT